AAAAATAAGATAGAAGGTAAGTAAAGAAAAGCTAGTAGTTTATGTCAATCTACCTGTCGCGTTTGGAATAATTAAATTGTTTTTACATATACGTTCAAATTTTCTAAAAATTTGCCTAATGGAACAACGAAAAATACATCCTAATACAAATATTAGCATCATGGGCCTATATGTATTTCACACTCATCAGAAGAAGAACAAGATAAAGACAAAAATCAATAGTTCCATTTAAATACAGAAAGCTAGAGAGATAGATACAAAGTAAAAACTAAAAGAGAAGAAGTAGTCTGTGGTTTATCGATTCTTCTCTACAAATAAGAGCTCCTGTGTTTCCAGAAAAATAGTGACCAAGCTAAAAGAAAGGAAGGAGGAAGAGAGAGAGAGAGAGAGAGAGAGAGAGAGAGAGAGAGAGAGAGAGAGAAATAGAGTACGCGATAAATTCCACAAAACTATTGCTTGGTATATAGTTACTTTACCAACATATATTTTTATTATATTGAATGAATTAAAATTATGAGTTTTTCAAGAGTATCGCATAATTTAGACAGTGATGAAGATGACCCATTATATAATATGAAATCGACCAAGTTGGTCCAAAATTGTTCTTTTTTAACTACTGTTGAATGCATAGCGGTCCATCCTTCTCCGTACTGGCTACGTCCTATATTACACGGATGATGTGAATTAGTCTCAAACGGCATGTCACCGTGGAAGTATGCTGGAGAAAAGGACATTTCCTTATAGCCGACGAACCAGCAGCACTAAACGGGATTAAACATGATTTCCACTTCTCAGAAAACCCCTGATCTTCCCTTGTTAGGTAAATGCCCCGTTCGGGATCCCTTGTGTTATTGCACTTTGATGTTGCAAGCTGAAGACCAGTACAATCTGAAAGCATTTTATTTTTCATTGTTAATATTTTTAAATTTCATTATCGAGAAGAGATTAATTTTGGTAAAAGTCTTACGTTCTTACGTTAAACAATAGAAGAAAATCTTCCAAATTAAATTTCAGTGAAAAGTTCAATTGTCTAATAAAACCTTTATTCCATTATTTTTAAGCTATACCGACAATTTTCTTACGTTTTGTTTAAAGATTATTGTATTAGGCCTAAAATAAAGTTCTACTTGTTTTTACTATTTTATTCGGTGAATATGTTTTATGAGATGGCAGACGTGCAACTATTTCTGTCGCGTCACTAACGAAACAAGAATTGGTTAATGGAGGTTGACTCGACCTTCTCCATGATCACCGTCGAACTTTTTATTCATAAATAATATTTCCTCTGTTTCACTTTGTTTTGAAGGCAATTTTATGTTGCCGTAATCGTACAATAAGAAAATTGACAATATTAATACCACATAAAATAGACCTTCAGATTCAATTCGTTAAATATGTGCGTAGTAACATATAATTGTAACCTCAGCAAAGAATTCTTCAAAAATTTCGAAATATTGTTCATTCTTCATTTAGCTTCCTTTATGCTCAAAGATAATCAACATATCGATTTACAATGCCAACTACTCTTAGACACTGATCTAGGAAACTTTCTTTTAGTTTGTAAGATAACTTAACAACTTAATTTAATAAGATAACTTAATATTTTAACCAACAAAATTGATTAAATAAAAGTGTAAGAAATAAAAATAATAGTTGTTATTTGGAGATCGTGAGATGCGGTTTTGTGTGACGTAGCTTTTAGAAAAACATTTTCTTTATCGTGCCAACGTTTCGATCTTTATTGAGATCATCTTCAGGGCCTGGGATTTACAAACATTGTTTAAATTTAGTAAAAACATGTAGAATGTGGAAAAAAGGGAACTTATACAATGCAAATAAATATTTTTTTTATATTCAAAGTATTTCTTCTCAATCAACTTCTACGCAGAAAACAAACACTTTGAGTAAGTGACTAATCACCACACGTTTAATCAAAAATTTAAAAAACCAAGCGCAAACCGATAAAGATAAAAGATAGGTAAAATAGATAAAAGAGTATTTGAGTAGTTATAAATCATATTTTTAATATTTGAAAATCATTTTATTCGTTCGCAATTAGTGCTGTGTTTGTTATATGTACGATTTTAACAGCTTCTGCTTTAGAAACTGGCATTTAAGGACTACAGTCAAAGGTCACTTTAGCAAGCAAGGGCAGGTCTCACTGGACATATTTCGGATTAAGCTTAAAACGTAATACCCAAATACCTGAAAAGGGTTACTATTACCTGTCACGAAAAAATAAGAAGATGGGAAACAATAGCGGTAATCCCCAAATCGATATATTATTATTTTTACCTGATAAGGAAAATGTTTTATTATAAAATTCCTTATACCTGATTAAACAAACTTAAGATTTAACTTGATTTTGAAGATTGAACTACTTTTGATTTTAAAATTATTTGTGGAGCAATTAAACGTAGGTAGATAAAAAATAAGATAGAAGGTAAGTAAAGAAAAGCTAGTAGTTTATGTCAATCTACCTGTCGCGTTTGGAATAATT